AAAAAGGAAAAAAAAAAAAAAAAAAAAAAATCGTTTAAGTTTAAAGAAAAAGCAAATCGATTCGAAGAGAAGGATTGAGTAACAGAGCAGGTGGTACTGAAATAACCATTTAAATTTGGGAAACAGTGGCCCACGCCACAAAGCCAGCCAGCCTCTGGATTTATCTTCCACATTTTCCAGATTTCCCTCGGTCTCTCCCGCGCCTCAGAGAGGCCAGGAGGCGTGGCCCACCAGCGAGCCCCGCCCCCACCCGCGCGTACCGCCCACAAGCCCCGCCCCCTCGGGCTCCTTCTCGGCTGCCGTCGCGCGGCCCTCAGAGGTAGCAAGATGGCGGCGCAACAGCGGGTCCGTGAGGGTGGTGCGCAGCTGGCAGGGCCCGCGGCGGAGGCCGACCCGCTAGGTCGCTTCACGTGTCCCGTGTGCTTAGAGGTGTACGAGAAGCCGGTGCGGGTGCCCTGCGGACACATGTAAGCGACGAGCCCGGGCTTGGTCGGGGACGCCTGACTGGGATGGGAATGGAACCGAGGAGCAAGGCCCCGACGAGGAGGATCCTGGGGCGGGAGCGAGAGGACCGGCCTGGAGGGCTCCTCCTGGGGTCCTGAAGGCCTGTGGAAGTTGGTGGGGCGCCCTTCTCTCTCGCCGCTCTGCTACAGTCCGTTGAGCGCCTGCGTTTTCTGGGCGGCCTGTCAGGCACTTCCCCACACGTGATAGTGAAGTCGCACCTTGCTGGGGGTTAGCTAGGGTCTAAAGTTCATCCTTGGAGAGCCAGAATTTCCCTTGAGTAGTCTGTATGTTGCTTCTAAAGTATAGTATATTTGGCGTCATGTGTCCAGCTCTGCCAAGTAAGTCTCACGTGCACTAGGGTTGGAGAAACGCTGAACTAGACTATAAAGGAATAAAAAGGAAGTCTTTATGTAGATCTGGCCAGTATGCCCTTAAGTGTGACAGGGGGTAGGGGTTGGCATATAGGAATTGTTAGGATTCCTGCTTACTTGGTTATGAGGTTTTCTTCCATTTTTAACTAAGCCTTTACGGCCTGAATACTGTTAACAGATTGGTTACAATGTTTAAAGCAGCTGTGTGTGAAAATGTCCGGTACACATTGCTTAACTCTTCCCAAATGTACTGCAGGTGTCTGTTTTGCTAGCCCAGAGAACAGTGCTTGGCACCTGGCAAGGTTTCCCCAGCAACACTGGGTGCTTTTTGCTTCTTCAAGCTCTTTCCGGCTTTGGCCAATTCCTCTTTGCAGTTCAGTTAGCCTGGAACTTTTCTTGCCCCAGCCATACCTCCCCCACCACTACCCCCAAATCCTTCTGAGGCTTCAAATCTTAGTTTAAGTTACCTCCGTGATCATTATCCCCATTTAAATTACCTCCCCCACTTCTCTCCTGGTGCTTCCTCACTTCTTCCTTGCACAAAGCAAAACTTAGGGATCTTGAGGGCAGTGACCATATCTTTTTTTGCTTCTCACTGTGTCCCCAGTGCAGTGTCTGAGCATCCATATTTCAATCTTACGGTCAACTGACTGGAATATTTGTATGTGCCACATTCTTGGGGTATAATAAGAAGGTGATTCTGCCCACAGAGTTTAGAGTCCAGTGAATTGATAAGTACTAGTGAATGTTCAAACTGTTGTGAAAATTCATTGTGCAATGGGTGGATATTACAGGGATCAAACCTGTATATGGGTCAGGGGGATGATCAGGTAATGGATGAATAAACTAAGAAATTAATGATGGAAGCAAGCTTTTTGAGAGTTGAAGTGGGGTCTGCGTGGCTTTTTCACTCAATCCGGTTATCCTTGGATCAGGTTTAATTTTGGATTAATTCAGTGCATTTCATTTACCATTAACATTTGTGAAAAGGCTTGCCCCAGCATGGTTTACCAATTGAAGAACAGCAAAATTTAAGGTATCCTTGAGCCAAGTGAACATTTCCTAAGTCAATGGACAAGAAGCATTTGGGGATTCAAACCTTGGCTCTTTCCTATACTTACCATACTAGCTCCATGTGTTCAGCAGTTCAGTGCTGATTGAAGACCCAATGGAAATACCTCTGTGGGCAGCAAAAGTCTTCCTTAGCTCCATCTGAGTGCTTTCTGCTGTGCCTAGTTGATTTTTAACTTTTGTACTTGAGCATCACTGTAGCTTTGGCTGGGGCATTAGATTTTTATAAAATTATTGTTTCAGGCCCTAAGTACACCCTTCTCCAGCTAGTGGAATACAGCTATAGACGGGCAGAGAGAAGGGAGTTTCAACATAGCACTGTGACAAAAAGGGTGGAGCATCCAGAAGGCTGAACTAGAAAAAGACCCAGAAGTAGGAAATAGGAACTAAAAGCCAGCCCAAGATTTATGAACCATTTGAGAGCATGCTTTTTGTTTGGGCATGACTCAGGCACAAAATAGCTCAGGAACATTTGATAGATGGAGCTGACCCTTAGTATGTGCTTGAGGGGAATACTTTGAGCTCCTTTTATGTACATGCTGGGTTTGGTTTCATTAAACTCTCTGGGACCCTCTTGTGTTCTCTTGGGTTAATGGGTTAATCTTGTGGTCTGCCTTTGTGAAGAGGCAATACAGCTAGTAATGGCCATGAGCCCTGCCGTCCTCTCCTACCTCCTGGCTTGCCCTTCTGCTCTTGTCTACCACCTCACAGCCTCAAAGTCCCTTCTGCCTTCTGAACACTCCTTTGCTTTTGGTGTCATCTCTCTGTGGACTTCTTTGTGTCCAGGTGTGTGGCTGTCCTTACAATTGGATCTCAGCTCAAATGTCACTTCCTCAAAGAAGGTTGTTTTTTGTTTTGTTTGTTTGTTTTGTGTATGTATGTGTGTGTGTGTGTGTGTGTGTGGCTGGCTGATATGGGGATCTGAACCCTTGACCTTGGTGTATGAGAAGCTTTCTTTGACCACCGCAGCTGATCTCCTTGCCTCGTTTTATTTCCTTGATATACTTAATCTCTATCTGAAATTAACATTTGTCTTTTCCTCCACTCTAGAATATAAGCTTCATGAGGATAGGGCTACACTTTGTCTAGTTTCCACTCTGCTCTTAATGGTGAATGAATAGGTCCCCCACCTCCCAACCTGGTCTGGAATTTTGCCTAGCAGCATTAACATATCTAGCTTAATCACAAAGAGGAAGGAAATTCTTTGAGACAGTAAAAAATTGTCAAGAAGATTGCTTTTGATTATATACCCTGAGTTCTTCCTAGCAGATTTTGTTATCCTGCCTTAAATCTGTCAGGGTGCAAGCACACTGGGCTACTTGCCTGCCTTATTATCCATTCTTTCTGTGTACCTGATCTCAGCATCACCACCTGCCTAGGCTTCAGGGTAGAAACTCAGTCATCTTTGATTTTCCTTTTTTTCTTCTCCAAATTCAGGAGGTTACCAAGTCCTATTGATTCTGCCTCTGAATCATCTCCTGAATTCATTCTCTATTGCCTCAGTCATGCCCTCACAATCCTTTGTCTTTAGCCATCTGTTTGGTTTCTACTTTGTCTCTTCTTATCTCTCCTTACCTTAAGACAACAACAAAACCCTGTTGTCCATGATAGCACTGGAGTTATTTGTCTGAAACTTGGATTTGGTCTTGTTGATAACTTGATTTAAACCCTTTTCCCTGCTGCTTATGAGGAATAGTCTGTTAGATTATTTCCTCAGCTGTATCATGAATTTTAAGCCTTAAGGGCCTGCCAGCTGAACTTCCCTTCCCACTTTCTCCCCTTTTTTGAAGCCAGCTGAACTCTTACAGCTCATCATGGATGCTACCTCGAAGTCTTACCAGTCTTGTCCTGCTCAGGTCACAGCTAGTTCTTCTTTTGTGATCACATAGTGCTTTACCTTCACCTCTAATGATAGCAGTTCCTGTTAATTGTGTATTTCATATGTGCTAGGCACTGTACTAAAGGTCTACTATACATATTGCATCCTCTCAGCAATTCTAAAGGTAGGTATTATACCTTCATTTCACAGAGGAGAAAACTGAGGTTCAGAAAACCCCACCAAGATCCCTCAGTGGCGCCTGCCGCTAAGGTTGGAAGCCTCTGCCATAACACCTTTCGCCATGTATCATGGTAGTTTGCATTTGTTTCTGTTGCTGGACCTGTGTGTTCTTCACAGCCTCCATCCCCCACCCCCTGCCCCAGTTTTTCTGGCCTAGAAGGACTTCGTATTTGACTTGGGAGTTGGGAGCCAGTTGTTTTTAATACATTATCCATTGATGTCTTTTTAAAAGTTGATCCATATTTGTCGTCTTGTCTCCATGATGCATGACGGAAGTTCTCTGTATGTCTTGTTCTAGCTTTTGCTCTGCATGCCTGCAGGAATGTCTGAAGCCGAAGAAACCTGTCTGTGGGGTGTGTCGCAGCCCTCTGGCACCTGGCGTCCGAGCCGTGGAGCTCGAGCGGCAGATCGAGAACACAGAGACTTCTTGCCATGGCTGCCATAAGAATGTATGTGGAAGTAACATAGAGTCACTGTCTTTCTGTGATGAGATGGGTAAAGGTAGAGCGGTTGCCTCGTCGTTTGTGAAGTTAGAGCATGACTAGGTGACTGATGTCATGTGTGCATGCTAGGTATCTGTGGTGATGGCTGGGCTGTTTCATTTTCATAACCTTACTGAGTTGTTTCTTTTTTTGAGAGTTGGTTTAGAATGTCATATATTTTAGTTTCGAAAGCCATAGAAAGCAGAAATCCTAGTTTTTTCTTATAAAAGACCCATTTTTTTGAAAAGTATTATATGTAATTTTAATTAGAATATAATGACAATGAATGATATTTCATAATTTTTTAAAATATAAAATGAGGTCAGTACTCAAAAAAGTTATCTGTTGCAATGAGTTTGAGGGGAAATTTCATAGTTTTTGTCATTAGAGATATAAAATTTAATGTTTCAACTTTTTGTCACTTCACAGGGAGGAATCAGGATGTAAAAGTCAATATGAAATCGTATCATTATTATAGCAATATCTAACATTAGAAATGCATCAATGCTCTTTTGTATAATCATATTACATTCAAGTATATTTTCATATTTGTTATAACTGCTACTGGAAAAGATAAATACTGTTGTCTTATTTTCTAAGAGAAGAACATAGCTTTATTAGTTGTAAAATCATTACAATTTTGTTAATTCTGGACAATACAAAAATGTAAAATAACATAGGTTGTTCTTCACTCCAGAGATTACCGCTTCAAAAGTCGTTCAGTTTATTTTATTTTTATTTTTATTTAAAAGATGACCGGTAAGGGGATCTTAACCCTTGACTTGGTCATGTTAGCCCCACGCTCTCCCAAGTGAGCTAACCGGCCATCCCTATATAGGGATCTGAACCTGTGGCCTTGGTGTTATCAGCACCACACTCTCCCGAGTGAGCCATGGGCCAGCCCAAAAGTGGTTCAATTTAGAAGGCTGCCTAACGTTTTCTACCCTTTGAAAAATACAGATGTAAAGTTTTTTTTTTTTTTTTTTTTTTTTTTTAAAGATGACCGGTAAGGGGATCTTAACCCTTGACTTGGTGTTAGCGTCAGCACCACACTCTCCCAAGTGAGCTAACCTATATAGGGATCCGAACCTGTGGCCTTGGTGTTATCAGCACCACACTCTCCTGAGTGAGCCATGGGCCGGCCCTGATGTAGAGTTTTTACAAACACAGATGTAGGATTTTTTACAAAAATGGGATACCATAATATATATTCCTTCAACTTTTTCTCACTTTCAAAAATTCTTTTTCGGTTAATGACTTATTGGATTAGCCTTGCATGTCAGTTTCATTATTTTTAACACCTCAGTATGGATAGCCATAGTATGGTTATATTTTATTATCTCCTTCCTTTCAGAGTGATTTGTTGTTAAGGATGCACAGTGGGGCTATTTCCCAGTCCTTTTAATTGGGGGCTCCTCAGTTGGCAGCTTCAGTTTAGACCCTCAAGATACTGAAATAAAATTTCCCATTACCTTCATCTTTTTTTATGCATGCTTGGTGGAATTTTTTTGTTTTCGTTTTTCTATATGCTTTAGATTTTTCTCCATTTTAAAGATTAGTGATTGTACTGTGGGCATACCTCTAAGAATGTTTTTCTTCACTTTACCTCCCCTCTTTCTTCATTCTTTACACTTTTTCTTTCTTTTTAGAACACTTGTGATGAGGCACTCTTCTCTGGGTTTTCTTCTCTCTTTCCATCTTACTATTGTACACCGTAGACTTTATATGAAAGGTAGAATTTGAATTTCAGTTTTTTTAAGATCATTTATCACAATCTAGTGATTAATACTTTGACCAGGGTTACTAGACTTTATCCCTTTTACTTAAATGATCATTTTTCTCAGCTTCATATAATAGAATGTGGTTCTTGGCTTGCTGTCAGGAGACTAGTTTAAATGCTACTGTAGAAAACTTTTAAGGGCCGGCCCGGTGGCGCACTGCTACAGTGCGCCGCTTGGGAGCATGGTGGCGCTCCCGCCGAGGGTTCGGATCCCACATACAGACCGGTTCCCGCTCACTGGCTGAGCGAGGTGTGGGAGCAACACTGAGGGTTGCGATCCCGTTGCCGGTCCCGGTCCGGTACGGGCACGACACTGAGGGTTGCGATCCATTGCCAGACACGAAAAAAGACGAAAAGGAAAAAAAAATAAGAAAAGAAAACTTTTAAAATGTCACTGGATTTGGCACATGTCTGTGTGCAGAGAGCATATCATGAATAAAACAAACCTCTAGGAGAGTTATTTTAGAGTGGAAGCAGTTGTCCTGATTTGGTTGAGTAAAACATCAGCCTTGGTATTAATGGAAAATCTTCAATAGACAGGGTTTTAGTCCCATCTGCATAGTCAGGAGTCTGGTGAGGTTGTTTGCCAGGGTGATGTAGGTCTAGTTTTCATCTTGCCCATGCTTAGGGACAATGTTTGGCCTGGTACAAGGTCCTCACTAACTAGTGGGCTCTGATTCTTCCTGTTCAAGTTCTTCCTGTCCAAGATCCGGGCCCATGTGGCTACCTGTTCCAAATACCAGAATTACATCATGGAAGGTGTGAAGGCCACCACTAAGGATGCGTCCCTTCAGCCAAGGTAAATGACTCAATCACCCCCTCAAGTGGAGATCATCCTTTGCTACAGAGACATTGGACACTTTGCATGCTCAAGTTTGGGAAAGTAAACGTATAGTTCTTATGCTGGCTAAAGCTGATACACGGGTTTTTTTGGGGGGTGGGGTATGCAGGGGAGGACTCTGTTCATTTTATATGTTAGCTGTGCTATTAAATTATTTTCACAACACTTGACCTGATTCTGAAATGATCAGAATCCTTGTCATAATACATTTTGTGAACTTTGCTATTTTTTGTAGTGTACAGTGATTGAAGTTGCTTGGAAAGGTACTCAAAGAGGTTTTTTTCCCCCTTGCTTTCTTCTTCCAGGAATGTCCCAAACCGTTATACCTTTCCTTGTCCTTACTGTCCTGAGAAGAACTTTGACCAGGAAGGACTTGTGGAACACTGCAAATTATCCCATAGCATGGATACCAAACCTGTGGTAAGAGTTACTTTTTTTTTTTTTTTAAACTTTATTATGGGAGAAAAGTCAAACTTACAGAAAAATTACAGGATTAGTATAATGAACTGTGTACCTTCCACCTAGATTCACAAATTATTAACATTTCACCATATTTGCTTAACCATTCTGTACATATACATATTTTTTGCTGAGCATTTGGGAATAAGTTACAGATACCATAACCTTTTGCCCCCTAAATACTTCAGCATATATCTCCCAAGAACAAGAACGTTTTCTTACAAAATCACATTTTTTGTGTGTATAGTTAGTTAATTCAGGAGATTTAACATTGTTACAATCTAATATCTAATGTGAAATCCATGTTTAAATTTTAACAGTTGTATTGTACTTCATAGCGATTTCCTCTTCCCTACAAGTAGAAGGCAGGGATGGTAGGTAAGTGCTGTTTCCTCTGGGTGCCACATTAAGGGTTATGTGATGTCTGGTGGTCCTGTTGTTGGTAACATTAACTTGGATCCTTTGGTGTCCACCAAGTTTTTCCTCCATAAAGCTGCCATTTTCCTTTTGTGAGTAGCTTCTTCATAGTTGTGGGAAAAGATAAATCCTCTTGAAATTACTTGGAAAGGGCTTACCAGTCCTTTACCATTTTATTTAAATATCACAGACTGGCATATATTTTCTTTAAAAAGCTTGAATTTTGTCCATCTCAGTAGTGCGTTACCTTTCCTTCTTAATGTGATTGACAGACTAGGTCTTCCTATGTAGTTAAGTGTGTATACTTCCTCTATAGTTTTGCATTTATCTCATACTGCTGCACTTGAACTATACACCCAGTTGTATGGGCAGTCTTAAGCTCCATTGCTGTAAAAGATGGTAAACAGACTTCAGAATTTGCGTGGGGTTTTGTAAGGGTACTAGAGCAGCTATCAGTGCTAATCTTCTTAGGCCTGATAGCATTCTTTATTTCTCTACCATAAATCTTAAGATATAACTAGCCTGTTTGAGACATATCTTTGCCTATATTTATGTATGTTTATAAGATTAAGTTTTAGATATGGATTAATTTGATCAAAGGTTACCTGCACTCATAACTTTGATAGATATTGCTAAACCCTGTAGTTTCTGGTACTGCAGACTATTTTTTTTCTCTTTTCCCTTCCTTTGGCTGCCTGAAATCCTTCTGATTATTTTGTCTCTGTAAAAGTCTTCTCTTCCTTTAGCTCTTTTTTTTTTTTTAAAGATGACCGGTAAGGGGATCTCAACCCTTGGCTTGGTGTTGTCAGCACCATGCTCAGCCAGTGAGCAAACCGGCCATCCCTATATGGGATCCGAACCCGCGGCCTTGGTGTTATCAGCACCGCACTCTACCGAGTGAGCCACGGGCCGGCCCTAGTTGTATCTTTTTTGTATCATTGATTTCAGCTCTTCTTCTTTGGGTTTAATTTGCTATTTTGTCTGTGGTTTACCTTCCTCAAATGGATCTTTGGATAATTGATTTTCATACCTTCTTGTGAGTTAAATTCAATTAAGGGCAAACTTTCCCTCTCAGCACTGCTTCAGCTATATTTCACAAGTTTTGATGTCTTTTTCATTATCATTCAGTTCACAATATTTTATACTTCCAATTGTGATTTCTTCTTTGACCCATGGACTATTTATAAGTGCATTATTTAATTTATAAATATCCGGTAATTTTTTAGTTTCTATTTGCTGTTGATTTCCATCTTAATTCCACTGTTGTTAAAGAACGTCTTCTGAACGGTTTCAATGTCTTGAAATTTGTCAAGACTTTCATTACCATTCATCCTTTATCTAGTTTTGGTACGTTTTTGTTTTGGACCTCAAAAGGATATGCATTCTGCATTTATTGGGTATTGTGTCCTGTGTCATGTCAAATTTGTTAATTGTGTTCAATCTTTTGTAATTTTACTGATTTGGTGGAGGGAATTCTGCTTGTTCTGTCAGTTACTGCAAAAGTTAGGTTAAAATTTTGCACTGTGATGGTAACGTTGGCCACTCCTTGGCTTTTGATGTTGCAGCCCTTCCCTTTGGAAGCCGTCACCTTCTCCGTTTTTGGTTCTGACCTGTGTTCTAGCTCCACAGCTACAGCTGCCTGCCTACCTCTTCCACTCAGAGTTTTCTACCATTCCAGATATATCTCTTGCCGTACCCCTTTGTCACTGTCCTCTTTGCAGTTGGGTAGAGTTCCATCTCTGAGCCAGAGCACTTATGCACATCCCACCAACCCCCACACGAATTTTCCATTCTGGCTAGTCTGACCATTTGCCTATAATACTGCTGCCTCCTGGCCTTTTCTCCACGCTACTGCCCCGTCTTCTGGAGCACCTTCATGTTCTCTTTGCCTTTCCAAATACCTCTCTGTCTTCAAAGTCCAAATCAACCTTTCATAAGAGGGTACTTCAAAAAGTTCGTGGAAAGATTTATATTATCTTTTCATTTTTCCATGAGCTTTTTGAAATACCCTCATACGAGGACTTTTTTCCTGATTCCCTCTCCTCTGAGCATTTCCTTTGTTGGTATGTATATAAGGCTGTTTTATTTCCTTGGAACATTGCTCATCTGATTATTGGTTTTCTTTGTGCTTTTGGGTCATCTGGTGTGCTGGGTCGGAAGGCCATATTCTAGGCCCCCACTGGGCTGACCCACTTTCCTAACTACAATAGGGAATCAGAAAAGGTGGTATCATGGCTTGAGCCTTTACCCACTCCCATGTGTCATTGGACTTGAGTAGACTTGCAGTGTTTCCTGGGATGCTGATGTGCACAGGAAGGAGTGACCAAGCCCTGGACTGGTGTGTCCAGAAAGCTGTCTTGGAAGAAAGGAGGCCAGACGCAGGCCACAGAGAGCTGATGTCAGCTCAGACATCAGGCACCTAAGACTTTGCTTCTTTGTTGAAAGGTTTGTCCAATATGTGCCTCGATGCCCTGGGGAGACCCCAGCTACCGCAGCGCCAACTTTATAGAGCACATCCAGCGCCGGCACCAGTTTTCTTATGACACTTTTGTGGTGAGTTTGGAGCCCAGGCTCTGATCGTTTCCTATGGGATCATCACAACTCCCTCCCTTTTCTCAAAAGGGGAACAGGGGGTCCCATTGTTAAGCTTTGTCACTGATGCGATGGGCTCCCAGTCTCTAGAATAGCAGTTGGGCAGTTTCTGTTTGTGGGCCAGGCTGGTGGCCAGAGTATTATAGAACTTAGTTTCAACCTCAGATGCCTATGGGGACCAGGGAAGTAACAGAAGTGGTCCTTATAAGGATTTATAGGCTGGACAGGGCCTGACCTGTGTCATGGTGCCATCAACTCCAGCTGACTGTCATCGTATGGAAATACAGGTACAGTATTGCCAATCTGCTGCCTCCCCTGGCTTCCAAAGCAGGAAATGCAGAATTTCATATGAAGTATCATGCATATTAATTATTTTTAAAAATAATTCAGGCGTGAAGCCTTCTAGTTCTGCAAAAATAATGATAATCATAAATAAAAAATAAGAATACTTCAGGTCAAACAGAACACGTCCACCAGCCAAATATAGCCATTTAGTATGTATTCTTTCCCTAGAGCTGGATGGTTTTGGAGGGGCACATGTTATCCCGGCATCATAGTGATAGATAAATTTGGCCAACTCCTTGAAGTAAACCTTTTATTTACATATATGTGTTAAGTTATTTTAGAGTAGCATTAAGTATTTAATGGCTGTGTTTCAGGATCTGAGAAGGAAAGCTTGTTCTAAGTTGTCAAAAAGTATTCTCAGTCTGACAGTTTCTGAAACTCAGACTTCATGATAACTATCCTTTTTGTTAATGCTATAAAGATGAATGTTATACCTAAAAATGCCCAAGGAGATCATTTGGCCTCATTAAATTAGACTTGTTTCACTACAGTTTCTGCTGTACCTTATGGCCCTAAAAACACCTGTCCTGGGCACTGCACTAGTCTCTTGGGAACGACACTTCAGCTGAATACATTTGTGCATGTGTTTGCCCACTGCCCCAACAAACTAAAGGAAATGTGTTGAGCACTTGGCCTGTGCCAGGCCCCATTCATATGCTATCTCGGCCTCACAATCCCCATTTGAGGGAGGCATCATTATTTTAATTTAAGGATGAGGCAGCAGAGGCAGAGATACTAAGTAATTTACCCAGAGTTACATAGCTAGCGTTGCAAATGATGGAACTGGGATTTGGTTCCTGGCAGCCCTCCGCAGGTCCCACTGCTAGGCTGTCTTGCTTCTCTTACTGAAAGTGCTTCTTTGCAGCTGTGAACAGTTGCTGAGGCTACGTGTCTGTTTTGCCCTTAGGATTATGATGTCGATGAAGAGGACATGATGAATCAGGTGTTGCAGCGCTCCATCATTGATCAGTGAGCAGAGTCTGTGCCATCCATCTCATTTTCCAGAGCTTCCAGTATGTGTTAAACGTGAAACCTTTGACTCCTACACCTTAACTGTACAACAGACCTGGAAATGAGCCATGGCTTTGGGACAGGGTCACTTCTGACAGGGGAAACGGAAACAGGTCCCCAGGTCAGAGCTCTCCTTTCCTTTTGGTTCTTGCCAAAGCTGTCTTCCTATACCTTAACTTCGTTTGTTACATGGTCCAGTCTTTATTGGCCCCAGCTTCTTCCTGGAGCTTCTGCCTCCTCTTCTGGAAGAGAACTCAGCTTCTCCACCTCCACCTGTTCTTGTTTCACACTCGTTCCTCCCATTCAGTGTTCATCTCTCAGGTCCTCTGAGCCAGTCAGGACCTTTTCTGGGTCATGAATAGCACAATCAAACAAGCATCTCCTTTCCTTGTCCTTGAGGTATGTGAACTCTGGCAGCAGTGCATCTGACCAGTGCTGAAGCTCCTGCGGTGCTGCAGAGCTGCTTGTCAGTGGTTCATCGGCAGCAGCTGCCAGAAGCTGGAGTTGCCATCCCAGGGAACATTTCAAAAGTCCTCTTGGGTGAATGTTCTGGGTTTAGCATGATTTGATGCTGTAAGTTTAGATTAGTGATATTTTCCTTTTACTCCTGCACACCCTTAGAGTTAACTGGTTCAGTCTTAAATGCCTGCATGGTGCCTTTTTAGAGTAAGGTATAACCATCTATTTTTAGTAGAAATATTTCTAGGTTAGGAAAGTTAAAATCCATTTATCCACAGGTGGGGAGGAGGGTCAGCCAAGAGAGGTAGGAGGGCCATAGATTTTTGTTTATAAGTTTCAGATGAGTGGGTCATGTTTACTTGTTTGGAAGCCTGCTTACATTTTTGTCCTGGAAGCACGAAAAAGAGTCTCAAATAAGAAGGAAGGGTTTGGATGCTCCAATGGATACTAGTACTTTTATCTTCTAGATGATAACTTAGATTAAACTGAACATTGTTTTTATGTCCCACATGGTTTCCTTATGACACTGGTTTCAACATGTAGGTCTGTGTTTGAAAACCTGCATTCTAAAATGCAGAGTAAGGAAGGCTATAGGAAATCCAGGATCACACCCTGTTGTCTCTTCTGACAAGACACACTGTTTATAAGGCACAGTAGATCTGATGAGTAGTAGTTAATAAAAGCTGTCTACTGGAGACTTGCTTTAGCTCAAGAAGCTTGAAGTTCAACATTTCACAAAGGTTAATAAATATAAGGCTAAGAGATGTCAGCCTGATCTGTAGGAGCAAAACTTCTGATTGACCAAAAGATATATGGATTTAGGTTTGCCCTTTCATGTTACCCATTACGCTCCTTTTGGAAAACTCAAATATGTCTTTGTCTCTGTGGATACCTTTTGAGTAGTAGTTAATAAAAGCTGTCTACTGGAGACTTGCTTTAGCTCAAGAAGCTTGAAGTTCAACATTTCACAAAGGTTAATAAATATAAGGCTAAGAGCTGTCAGCCTGATCTGTAGGAGCAAAACTTCTGATTGACCAAAAGATATATGGATTTAGGTTTGCCCTTTCATGTTACACATCCTTAGTCTGAATATGGAAATTGTTTTCTGGTCAGTGGCTGAGGTTGCAAGTGACACTGGGCTTTCTGCCTTTATGTTGCTGCTGTGGGCCTCTCCTTGCCTGCCAGTAAAGAGCTGCAGATACCTAGTAACCAGTGAAGATGGGCCCATTTGGGGCAAAATAATTTTTCCTAATGTGCTATTACTTGGGAGGACCCAAATGTTAAGGTCAGCTGCTTCACTGTAATTTCTGGATAAGTTCACTCCACCCTCCCTGAATTGAGGTCATCTCAGTAGAAGTTTGGAGGGAAGTTTGACAAAACCTTTTGAGGGGACTGATGAGAGCATGTCCATTTCACTGGTGGTACCAAGAAACTTCTTTCCTTGTATTAAGTGCACTTCATGTATTTCTAATAAGATGACTTTCCAGAAAGTGAAATTTGTTATGTTCTGGCTTTTAAAAGGTGAAATATAAATAAATTTCATAATTTATCCAACTGGTAAGCTGTAATGCCTGTTTTCATTAAACACAATTTGCTGAAGTCTGATCCTGGGGAGCTTCCAGAAGATTGTTACTCTAACAGAAGTTCTTGTCTGTCACTGAGTCCAATCTGGCTTCTAATCACAGCTCTGATACTTCACCAGCTGGGCCTCTCTGGGCCTGTCTTTTCTAGAAAATGAACACAACCCCACTTCCCACAGTTGGAAGGCTCTGGGGAGGCGAGGAGTTAACAGTGCTCCACAGGACAAGGCTTTAGACACGGAGCTTTAGCTACATTCAGATGACTGAGTAGCAGTGCCAAGACGTTGTAATGAAGGGGGTCTGCAAGTTAAAATTTCAGTCCTGCGCTCTGCCACTAGCTCTGGGACATCTGACGAATACTTCTTTCTGAAACTGTCTCCTTACTATTAAGTGGGGATAATAGTATCTGCCTCTTAAGGATGTTAGGATTCAAGGAGCAATGCGTGCAGAACCCTGGCAGGGTGCTGCATTGTGGGTACTCCCTGTGGGATCTGGCTGCTGTGCTTGTCTCCTGGGCTGTTTCATTCTGATCCCAATCCCACAGGAACCTTAAACATGGCCAAAACTGAGCTCAGCATCTCTACTCTTCACCCATGCCCCTCCCTCTTCTGTACAAGAGCACTTCAAAAAGTTCATGAAAAGATTCTTCCAATTCTATTTTTCCGTTAACTTTTTGAAATACCCTCATATTATTTCATCTTGCAGTGGACTGTGGCGGTAACTACCCAAACGAGAAACCTGGGAGTCCTCTTATTCCCCTACATCCATGTGGGTTCCTTTGACCAAAGTATTAGTTGAATCCCTGACACTAGTTACAAGTCAGTTGCAATTTGTGCTCCTGTCCCTTTGAGGTCTAACATTATCCATTGGAAATGAGATCCCTTGTCATACCAAAGCAGGTCAAGTGACATTTGAACTGAGACTTAAGTGAAACAAGGACAAGCCCAGTGACCATGAAGAGGAGAGCATTCCCCACAGAGGGAACCAAGTTCAAAGACTCTAAGGAGCATGTGTGTTACACTCTAGGCACTGCAGTGAGGGGCAGGCTGGGAAGGCTGTGGTGGAGAGGATGAGTCAGTGGTGGTGTGTGTGGAAGGCAGGTCGGAGAGGGTCTTGTAGGGCAGTGAGTGGCAGAGCTTGGGTTTTTCTTTGGTTGAGTTGGGACCATTGGAGGGTTCTATGTAACATGATCCTGCTTAGTTTCAATAGTATCCTGGCTGCCTGTGGAGAAGGGGCTACAGCAGCGAAAAAGTGGGAGCAAAGACTGGGTGGCTGCTGCAGGAATCAGGCAATGGATGATGGTGGCTTGGAACTGTGTGGCAGTAGTGGGGTTGTTGAAGTGGTCCAATCTGGTCAGGTATGTTTCGAAGGTGAGGTGTGAAAGCAAGAGTGACTGCAAGGTTTGGGGCCTGAAAGACTGGGTGAATGGAGGTGTCTTTCTGAGTTGGGAAAGACTCCAAGAAGAGTTTGGGGAATCATGTTTATGAATTGGTACTTTGTACTTAGGATAAGGCTTCAAGTTCTAGCATCATGCACAGATACAGAAAGTGTCAACTCAAGCTACTTAGGGAAATTGAATAGGATATACCTAGAGTGCTTAATGCCTAGAGTTAAATAACTCTACAAGTAACTGATAATATCAGTTACTCTGTCAACAACAAATGTAAATCAAGCTCTATTGAAATGTGTGAGTAGACAAAAGCAATATTTCTAAATTTGTTTTAAGTATACAATTTAAGTACATGTTTGACTATTTCATCTGCAGTGGTAAAAGTGCTTACAATTTGGCCAGAAAACTTCTTTTTTAATTACTTTATTGGAAAAATGGCTGATTTTCTTATATTTAGGTATATATGGTATTTACTAAGCAGTTATTATGCACTGGCACTGTGCTAGACACTGGGGATTCACACATTAATCAAAATATAATTATGAACTGGAAAGTATTCATGGTAAGGGATTAATAAATGGTAGCTATTTAATAAACAGTAAATTACCTCTTCCTCCATAAAAAAATTGGAAACCAGTAGTTCAGAGGCTTACAGTAGCATCTGGACCTTTTCTCCTTTCTCCACTTGTGCCTTCTCCTCTCTTCTGTGACCTCAGTGTCTCTTGCTATTACTCTTCCCAAACAACATCGGAACATGATTAGGTTTCTCCTACCCTCTAACCACTGGCCTGTATTTCTCCTCACAGCCAAACATCTTGAGCTGGTTGGCCTCACTCACTGCCTCAGTTTCCCTTATTTCCCAATTTCACTCTTCAAACAACTCTGACCTGCCGTTTGCACCCCACCCTCAGCACTGAAACTGAACTTGTCACCAAAGACAAGACATGTCCCTAAACCCAGCAGGTATCAGTCCTTGTCTAGCTTCATCTTCGATGCATTTACTGCTCTTAATCCCTTCCCTCCTTTTAGCAACAATTGCTTCTGCTGTGAACCCATTCTGGTTTCTCTTCCTACTTCTCTGCCATGTTCCTTTCCCATTTCCTTGCAGCCTGCTCCTCCTGGTTCCCTTCTCTTAGCTGTTGGAATTCCTCAGGGCTCTGCTCTTTCCACTTACCCTACACCCTCATCCTGGGTAGACTCAACCAGTCACCACTCTGCACTTGGTTTTCATTACTATCCATACATCAATGTACCTAGATCAACAGTTCTAGCGAGGGAACTCTCCGGAGCTCCAGGCTCCTAGAACCATCTTCCTCATAGACCTGTCCAGCTCTGTGACTTAAAGGCATCTTAATTTCTGCATGGCTTAAATTAAACTCATTCTCCACCTCTTACTACCCCATGCCACATGCTAGGGTTCTCTTTCCCTGCAGATGACCATCATCCTTCCAGTTGCTCAAGAATTAACCCAAACACCATCGTTAGCTCATTTGTCCACCTTAAGACCCCATGTGATTTTATCTCCTGAATAACACATTTGTGTTTTCTCACCATCCCACTGCCTCCAGCATCTTAAAAGCCACCACGATCTCATCTGAATTATTGCTACAACTTTCCATTTGGCTTCTCTCCATTGCTGTCTGGCTGATACCCAATCCGTCCTCCACCAAGCAGCCAGAGATCCCAACGTGATCATATCCTTTAAAACCCTTCAGCAGCTTCAATTACCCTCAAAGTCTCAACACCTCACATGGCCCTAGAGCCCCTGTGTGCTCTGCCCATTGCCTTCCTCCAGCCCCAGCTCCTGACACTACGTCTGCACTCTGTGCTCTAACCATACAGGCCTTCTTTCTGCACCTCAGAGGGGTCATGTTCCCCACTTCGGGGACTACACTAACATCCTTCCCTCTGGAATATTTGGTGCCCCCACCCCTGCCTTTGCCTCCCAATTGCAGTTTGGATGTCTAGCTCAGAATTTCATGTATGTGTCTCTGTAGAAACCTCTAGTACTAAAAACAAAACAAGAAAAATAAAAGTGTAGAAACATAGTATTAATCTGGACATTTGGCATTTGTTAAACCCTGATTTATAAATCAGGTGTAAGTTCCTCGAAGTCAGGATTCATGGCTGTCTTGTTTACCTCTTGTAACCCCCATCGTTCAGCATTGGGGTTGCCAAATAAAACAAGAGGACTCCTATTTAAATGTGAATTTCAAACAATGGGTTATTTTTTAGTATAAATATGTCCTAAATATTGCATGGAAATGTAATTTGCCGAAGCCAGGAAGTGAATGCCAGGAATGTTCATAATAAGAATGTGTTTATTTGAAATTCACAGTTAACTGAGCCTCCTGTATTTTATTAGTTAGGTCTGGCAATCCTACTCAATGTACATTAGCAGAATAAATGTTCTGAACTATGTGCCAGGCAACTCACACCTTCTTCTTAAATTATTTGTGCATCAGTTGGTTAGAGTGCAGTGTTACAACACCAAGGTCAAAGGGTTCGGATCCCCCAGACCGGCTAGCCATCAAAAGCAAAACAAATTATTTGTGCGATTATTTGTTTTAATGGCTGTCTCACAAATGAAGAGTTACACTGTTGAGGGCAATGACTGTGTCTGTCTTGTGCACCACTGGCCTCCATACTTGGCCCTGGAGTAGTCTCAGTAAATATTCCTGAAACTGAAATAGAACTAAAAGGGGGGCCTTTTCCAATGATTACTTCCTTTGTAAGGTCACTCCATCCGGAATGAGAGTCCACTGCAGCAGTAAGGAGAGCCTGAAGGGGGCAGTGTCTCCCTGAGGTTCTGGTGTCCCACTGTGCATCACCGTAGGGAGGTGGGTCATCAAACCGGAAGCACCGGAAGCCGGATCTTAGAAGGCAGAAAGGTCAAGACTCAGGTGGGCAGGCCAAGATGGTTGCTGCCAGGTGGGCACCTACCTGTCCAGGGCTTTGATGGCCCTTGACACCTTTTTGCCTTTATCCCTCTCTTGTTATCCCCTGGCGTCCTTCAGTGTCTCCGGGGTACCATGAATACAGGAATAATGACAATGATGATAATTATTTTCATCCTTGGTTCCTGACAATAATTTTGGTTTAATCCTCCCTCCTTTAGCCCCTGAAAGGTGATCAAAACCAGGCAAATTATTCTGGAAAAGTCAATCTCATTGAATCCTCTTAGCTCTGCAAGAGGAGGTACTAATAGCATTCCATTTTTCAGATGAGGGACTGGAGGCCCCAAAGTGAACGACTTGGTCTTACAATGCAGAGGCGTGATTAAACTCATAGTGTCCAGCTCAGACGCGTGGAGTCTCCTATTCCTAGCATCCTCATTCACTAGCTGCTTGACCTTGGGCAAGTTACTCTAATCTCTTTGTGCCTTGGTTTCTTCCTTAGTAAAATGGGGCTAATAAAAAGTGTCTTCCTCATAGAGTTGTGGGAACCTACTGAAATAATTCATGCAAAGCATTAGAACAGAGCTTGGCACAAAATAAGTGCTTAATAAATGTAAGATACCAATGTCACTACTGTCGTCTCATCCATTCCTGAGACCTCCCAGTGCCTGGCACCACCCAAGTAGG